TAGATCATACTTTTCTCATTTTTTAAAAATTTTTAATAACTACATAATTAGAAGAAACATTTTATTACAGCTTTAACACATTCAGTAACACTCCAGAGCAAGAGTACATCTCTTTCACAAGGGGGTTCAAGTTTCTAGGTTCACAGTTGAGTTAATACTGTTATACAATATTGAACTCAGTATAAGCCCTGTAAGACACAAAATTGAATGAGTATTTAACCTTTTAAAAAGATCTCCATTTTATTTTAGAATATATTCTTCCTAGCAGAAAGACTCATTGCTTTTGCTACTGAGATGTTGGCACATGCATCTCTAATCTGTATGTATATGATTATTACTAGTCATAATCAGTTGCACTTGAATCCTTGGAACCTGTGAATGTCTATAAAGTCATCGGGTACATTTCAGTGGTAATGTTTATCACCTATACTAATTAACATGACGTAAATTTCCATGCTTCCTCCTCAAATATAATACATTTTTTTAAAATTTATTGATATTGTGTGTGTGTGTGTGTGTGTGTGTGTGTATCACACAGAACATCCCAAACCATCTCATTCAACTATACACCCACTTCCCAGATGGCACCCTCCCATAGCCTCAGGGGGAGGTATGTTTGATTGCCTCCAGAACTTGAAGATAAGACCCCATTGCTGGAGATAGGGCATACAATTGAAATTGGAGAAATTGAGCTTAAACTGACCTGGAAGCCTCCTCCCTGAAGCCTAGCTCTCATACTATCAGAAGACGCTATGCAAGTTGCTAAGGGAGAAAGCCAATCAATGGTCTAACCCAGCTGTAAAACCTAATGACCATAACAATGACCTGAGCAGCAAACTATCACTATGGGTGCAGTAGTGGCACTTTTATCTTGGGGATAATCAACAGCTGCCTAATTACATTAAGGCCCACTCAGTGGAAGGAATTCATGGGTGGTACTGTAAACATACTAAATGCACATGACTGGAGAGGTCACAGATCCTAGAGAAAAGCCTATGTCTGTCACATCCCTAGACAATTTCTTACTGTAGACACTGCATTTTTAATCTTGTAATATTTGTTTCTTCTGAACTTTGATAGTTTCTAATTAAACTCCTTTACTCTAGCCAACTCCTATGCCAGGAGAAACAAAGCATCTTCTCCACTGGATACATGAATGGGGGGAAGAGTTTCATAGCCCCTGTTAGGATATGTACCCCCTCCCCCACCAAAGGTTTCTGGAACCACAGTTCTTAGAAGTGAGTTGTGGCAGGAGAGTATGGTCAAGTGTGAGACATTAGGATTAGCACGTGAAATACGGCAACAACAGAGAAAAAGACTGAAAACTCCTTCCTACCAATGTTCACGTGTAGCAGAGCACGCACAGAAAAAACGCTGTACAGCTGTACAAATAGTCCAGTCTGCTCAGTATAGGTGCTATGAGTTCCTAATCTTGCCCAGCTCTCTGTCCCACTTGCTTGCTTGGAGGTGCTGCCTCTCTTAATGAATGGTCTCTGTTTCTATCACTATTCACATGTCCCCTGTCTAATTTCTTATTCTAGAACACAAGAACCTGAAAACTTCAGGGGATGTCTTCTCCCTTACCTGCCAATAAATAGGTGACTGTCTATCAAGTAGACGTCAACACAGAGTTAAGGAAGACGAAAAGACAGGAAAGCATTACTGGCAGCTGTGCTGTCACTGGGACGGTATCATTCATATTTTTTCCCTGCAGTATTTGGCCATCAAGAGTAACAGATTTGTTTCCATCCATTGCCATTCTTGCCCAGTGCCCCTGGATTCCCAAAATAGTTTCTGTATTGGCCAATTAACCTTATTCATGTTCTATGGGAACAGAAAAACTAGTCACTGGTCTGAGTGTTGTTTTGGCTACAGAACTTCACTAAGTCTTATGACTAAGGCCAGTACATTTTTTTCTGGTGTCCTGGTCTTTGTCTGTGAGTACAAAGAAGTCGAAATAAGTAGAATTTGTGCAAAGAAATACTACAGATGTGCATGGATGTGCTGGTTTGTGGTGTCCTCACCCTACTGAAAGGCCTCTTACTGCACTCCACGTTGAGCAGAGAAGTAAATAGGTGGTAATGCTACACATTTGTTGTACCCAAATATTTGTTCAAAAACCATCTTTTTGAGGACGGAGAGGTGACTCAACAGTTAAGAGCATAGCTGTTCTTGTAAAGGACCCCAGTTCAGTTCCCAGCACCCACATAGCAGATAAAAACTATACATAACTCCAGTGCCAGGGGATCTGATGCCCCTTTCTGGCCTCTGCAAGCATCTGGCATATACATGGAGGCAAAACACTCATATACATAAAATAAAAATAAAATAAAAAATAAATTAAAAATTGATTAAAAACATCTTTACCTCTAATGTCAATTCCAAATGTACAATATTCAATCCTTCATTTCTATGTTTACCCTTGTAGAGGGCCCAAGAGTCAAATAAATTATCTTCAACATACTACTCTTACATCTAGATGCAAATGAATATAAAATGCTGATATCTTAATTTTTCAGTGTGAACCTGAAAATCTCAAGGAGCACAAACTACCCAAGTGAACTATGACCACGTGTGAAATTAACAGTAAACAATCAAAGGTTTTTTTTCCTTATTTTTAAAGTCAAGTTTCTCCCTTCTGTGATCACCATTGATTTTAATGAAATAATCCAATGCTACATTTAAAAAAGGTTGGACTATAATGAGGAGTGGAAGTTTTGGTACCTCTGATTTATGATTTTGTATCTACAGACTTCAAAAGACACCTGGAAAGAAAGCAACACTGAAGTCGTCCGCTGAGGCGGCACTTTGATTTCTGTAGCTAGATTTCATGACAATAGGAATAGAACAAAAATCCTATGATTAAATAAATGAAAAGTTACCAAAAATATCTTTCATTTCAGGTTGAAGATTTTAATTCTCTGATCATTCCCATGTTTTAATACCTGTAGGAGACCATTCAGTTCTTCCCTTCCTACACACAGAGAGAAATACCTTTATGTCAGGAAATTGGCCCAGGTAGGTGTCCAGTGTCAGCAAGGACCCATCTACTAGTTTTTGATGGAAATCTTCCCATAACACATCACATTTCTAAAAGGGAAATAAAAAGACAGTGACTGGATAGCTTCAATTAGATACATTTCACTAAACTTTTAAAATATTTGAAACCCTAAAACTTGATGATGAGTGACACCTGCTGAAATACTAGAAGACAGAATATGAACTAATTAGAATGCAAGAAAATTTTCAGGCAATTTGGCTAGTGTTCTAACTGACAGTACAAGTTAAGAGCTTGTCTTATTAAAAATATTTTTTCCTGATCCCAAGTTACTGAAGAATGTACAAGTTTCAGAAGCTTCCCAGATCCCTGTAGATTGACTTAGGAACTAAATGAGTTTCTGCAAGACAGTTAGCTTACCTGAAGCAACGGCTGAAATCAGAACTAACCCCAACAGAAACAAACACAATGCGGCCAAAGCCTCTACAGGGTGAACATGAAGTTCTATCACATTGGGAGAACCTCATCAGTTACCATCACTGTTAACTATGGTCATTGCCTCAAGTTCTGGGCTAAATACTTTGTGTGTTAGGGAATTTGATATTGGCAATTGTTTTATAAAGAATGACTTGTTAATACCAACATGCAGAACAGAATAACTGAAATCCAGAGATGCCATATAACTTGGGTAATGTCATGTTGTTTATATATTAAAGACACAAATCTCAACTCAGTTCTATCTCCTTTTCAAAGTTGGTGATCTGCCTATTACACCAGAATCCCTCACCAGAGCAGAATTAATACCCCAACTATTTAACTTTGGGAAACCAAACCTCCCAAAACTTCACTTTCCCAGGTTAAATGAGTAGACAAAGTAGATGCTTCCCAGAACTCAGGCACCGCAGGCTCACCACAACACCACCTCAGGCTTCTCTCACTACTACTGCATTTGGGGCCTGCTGAGTCTGGTCTTCAGTCCCTAGTCTCCTCTTTCTCTTCTAAGTAACTTCAGCTGGGCACAAAACTGCCAAGGGCAAACATTCTTTTGCTCGGACTCTTTTGCAGCCAGGTGTGGACATGTGATCACATTCTGGCCAGTGGGATGAATTTTCAGGAAGTGCCCTCCAAAGGAAGGAGTGAGTTCATCTGCAGGACCCCATCCTACTTGCTGACTAGAACGCAATGAGAGCTAACATCCAGTGTCAGAGCATACCTTAGAACCTAAAGGAGAGAGGCTAGGCTTGGCAGAGAAACATCCCTGGTGCTTGTGACTCTACCGTGCCACACCTGGGATGCCATTTCCAAATGTTTATGTGAGAGATAAGTTCTTTTTATAAAAATGATTTTTTAAATTATTATTACTTTTATGTGTATGTGTGTATTGCCTGCATGTAGGTAAGTGCACCCGTGTCATGCAATGCTGCAGAGGATCCCCTGGGACTGGAGTTAAGGACAGTTGTTAGCTGCCATGTGGGTGCTGGGATTCAAACCCAGGTCTGCTGCAAGAACATCCAGTGTTCTTAACCACTGAGCCATCTCTCCAGCCCCCAAGATAAGTTCTTATCTTGTTAAAATAACAAGTTTAAAGCTGGGTGTGTTGGCACAGAGCTAAAATTCCTGCACTTGGGAGGTAGAGGCAAGATGATCAAGACCAGCCTCAGATACATAGTGAGTTTGAGTCCAGTTTGGGCTATGAAATTGCTTCAGAAAATGGCAAAAACGAGTTTAATTTGCATTGTTTCCTTTTTGCACTTCAAAAAGTAATCTTAGCTGTTATAACCCCCAATTTGAGAATTTTATACAAATAAAAGAAGGTAAAGGCTCATCTCTTATGTGAGTAGACCCTATGAATATGCAATATTCAGTTGCTTCTCCATCCAAAGGACCAGGGCCATGCTTGCACTTGGAACTGATGGTCCAAAGGTCCTGGAGGCCATAGGGACTGAGGAGGTACAGTAACCATTTCATTAGGAGTCAATATTGGCACTGCTATATACAGAAAGAAAGAGTATAGTGTTCTGAGGGTAGAAACATACCTTTCAATTAAATCCTTAAAATGCCCTTGTTTATGAGGAGCTTTTATAGCACACTGTTGTCAGAAATGTGCAAAGTAAGATAAGCATTTAACAACAACGTTATGTTTATATTGGGGAAAATGTAAGACAACTACTTAATAATCGATCGCATCAGAAAATGGTATGTGGAAATTATTTTGCCAAATCTATATCCTGAAAAACTTTGGAAGATGGGATAGGTACAATGAGAGCTTTATCTCACAGATAAATCCATTTTCATTTCAGTCTAATGAGATCATGAAGATCGACATTAGGGTTTCGGCACTGTCACTCAGTAGCCTGGGACTTGCTGGGGACTTTTCCAAAGGCTATAGAGATGTGCAGTTCATCACATTATCTCGGGTCTTCTGTTCCTCATGAGTTTAATGACTCACCTGAAATGGCAACAGGACAAACAACAGCTCTTTGCTTCAACAAAGAACCCTGAAAGGGATATCATCCCAGCCTGGCAGCTTGCACACACCCGTGATCATAACCTGCTCTGAGCACTGACTAGGGGACCTGTACACAAAGTCTACAAGCACGCTCTCAGTAGGTACAATTCTTCTCCTAACCTTCTGAAGGACATGAAGAACTGTCCAAGGTACTAGAAAGCCATTCTTGGTCTTTCCCACTCTGCTTTCTGCAAAGCAGCATTACGGATCTGCTCATTTCCCTCAGGCCAGGTGACCCTGAACTACAAGTTTCATTTTGGATGTGGGGGCAAGCCAAAGCTGCCTTAAGGTTCAATTTCTTTTTTAAATATATTTTTATTTAGTATTTTCATTTTATGTGTGTGAGGGAGTTAAGGATAGTTCATAGCCACCATATGGGTGCTGGGAATCGAACCCGGGTCCTCTGTAAGAGCAATCAGGTGTTCTTAACTGCTGAGCCATCTCTCCAGCTCCTAAAGTTCAATTTCTATTAGCAGATGGTCTAGCTGTGTTAGAGTGATGAATGGTCTTCTGACATCTGCATTCAAGGAGGGCTGGTTAGAAGGGGAGTTGGAATGAAAGGGCAAAATTTCTTCATAATATTACATCTATAATAAAGCTCCACTACAAATGAGTTTTTACAACCTATCGTATGGAACAGTAAAATGCTATTGTTATTTTGAAGAAAAGCAGTCTTTAAACCATAGCTACTCATTTTTTTTTTATTTTTTTATTTATTTATTTTTTTTTTTACTTTAGGTGTATGAGTGTATTGCCTGCAGGTATGTAAGTGCATCCACTTCCTGCAATGCTCACAGAGGACCTAAGAGGGTGTTAAATCCCCAGGAACTGGGGTTATAGATGGCTGTTAGCTACCATGTGGTGCTGGGATTCAAACTGGGATCTTCTGCAAGAACAGTCAGTGCTCTTAACAGCTGAGCCATTGCTCTAGCACTCAATGGTTTTATAATCACTTTCTCCTCTCACTATGTGGTCAAGATGATATAGCACAGAACTCCAGGCTGCTTTCTGCATTTAGACTCTCTTTGTGATCAGTGCCCTGAAGCAGTAAGGTGGTTGGTGGGCTGAGCAGTGGGAGTCCTAAGATACCATCCCAAGCTTCCTGTGTGCTGCCACCCAGTTCTTACCTCACCAACCATTTTCACATCTTCCCGTCCATACCAATCTGGCTCGTAGACTTCATGAAGTGACTCAGTGAGCTTCATCGAGGCCTCCTGCATGCCTGACATTGAAGAAAAGCAACTTCGGTTACACCATATGGGGGAGGCACTGCCCTGTTCTCCCCTGCTCTGCTGAGTGACACAAAAATCTTTAGCATTTGCTAAATATTTAACAAACAATTGTGAAAGCACAAGTGCCACTTAAACCCACACCCACATCTTTCCTTGATGGTTTTTAAGACTTACATAATCACAATGCACATTTTGTATTACTTTCACGATGATAGCAAACACTGAGTCTCAGAGAACTCTAAGAACTACAACAGTAATGTGCTTTACTTACTAGTTAAATGGAATGGAACAAAACACTCTGTAAGCTGAAAAATTCTAAATGTAAAATTAATCCTGAATGATTTTAAGAAATAAAGTATTTTTGAGGCAGGCAGAAACAATATAAATAGGACTTCAGGATATAACAGCTGGAGGTGGTTAAGAGGTTTAAAATAATAAAGTTCTTTAAAGTGGTAAAAAAAAAAAGTGGTTACAATTCAAGTGACACAATTTTTTAATGACAAAAAAGACAAAAATTGTTTGTTTTCCAACATCATTAAAAAGTATGAATACAGTTTTAAATAAAATTTTTCAGAAAGCTTGTCCTTTTTGAGACTCTGGAATGGAATTTTTGTTACAAATTGGTAAATTACAAATGTTGGCTTATTAGCAATAGTAAGGAAATGAAGTTCCTGGGTGCAGCACAGGGCTATCTCCAAAGCTTTCCCAGTCACCTTTCCTCACCCGCACCAGCACCCAGGCCTTGTACAGCACAGAGGTTAAGATGCAAAGGCTGGATCCACATGGAAGGTGCTCATGGAGCCAGAATGATGCAAGCAGCAGCTGAAGGTTGTACCAGGCCGAGCCAGTGTCCAAGCCTTTATCACTAAGGAGCTGGTAAAGGGGAAGCAGAGAATACTTAAGGAATCAAAGATCAAAACCTTTTGTGAACTGAAATAACCACAGGCTCATTGGGCAGAAGATGGTTCTGGATGCAGCAAGGACAAACTAGAAGAAATGTGAGATGAGAGAAGTGTAACCTTGAAGAATGTGTCTGAAAGTCAGCATTTAATTTGATCGTTAAACATACGTTTTCACTATACAGGCATAGAAAATCTCCCTTGACACTCCCTGATAATGGTACATAGACATTTGGTCCTTTCCCCCTGGAGGTTGGATGTGCCTCAGAGCCACTTGAGGTAAGAAGCATGTAGTTAAGAGTCCACATTAAGCATGACTGAGGATGCTCGGTGAGGTGGGGGGACCACAAGGATGAGAGACTTGCCTACACACCCCAGAGTCAGGTAGGAAAAGTCTGATGCTCAGTCTTTGGGGATGAAGCAGTCACACAGGTGCATAAAAGCTGAAGGAGGTACAGAACCTGTGTCCATCCTTAAATCCAAGCAAGTGAGAATACTTTTTCTTAGGATGAGTCACCACTGAGGTTATATTATCCTGGGTGATGGTTATACTATCCTAGGTATGCTATTCACCCCAACCCAGGTACAAGCAATTATGTGCCAAGAAATGGACCCCTCGAGAACCTACTATCATTCTGCTAAATAGGCATAGTATTAAAGTGACTCATAATGATTTGTTGTTATCTCCATCTCTCAACTCTGACCCAAAAAGGTTCTTCTTGCAACAGATAGTGAGTAACACTGAGACCTACAACTAGTCAATGTTCAGAGAATAAGAGACTACAGAGTGCTAAGTTCTGAGTGGGTCACATTCACTGTACCCTTTCCTTCCAATGTTCAGGGCAAAAGAGGGAGCAGAAAAAATGTAAGGGCAAGAGACAGTAGAATACAAGGAAACTGTGTCCTTTGGACAGCACAGGAAGGGTACTTTCACATAGGAAGCCATAGTGCTTATGACAATATGCACAAGACATGTGCAAACCCAACAAGACAGGGATCCTGCATGGATGGGGGAGATGGCCAGGAAGCTCAGCCCTGGCTGAGAATCTTCTGCCTTACTGGTGTGATGCCTCGTAGACTGACCAGACTCCAAGTGATAGTCCCATACCTGAAAGCATTTAGGGAACACAAATTAGACTTCATGGGTCCTTTTTTTAAAAACCACAAGGTTAGAGAGGTCATAGATCTTAGAGAAAATCCCTAGACAAATGTAATTTCTTAGTATCTGCAAAATATTGATCCTTATATTTACAGACAAGTATCCCAGTCACCACTCATTGAAGAGGCTTCTTTTGAAACAGACTGAGATTATTACAGAGTTCCACAACCAATCATACAGATTGTCTGTGAATTGCCCAAGCCTAAGTGACACATCTACAATGCAACCTTTACACCTGAGAATGGACCATAGTAGAACAAGGGGTAGAGAGAACACTAATTCATCTATCAATTCTCATCAATGAAGCTCCCTCATGTAACAGAGGGTCATGAACACAAAAGGATACAAACAGCCAAAGTATAGAGAATAAGAGTCTGCAGAGTATGGGTCCTTGGACAAGACTCCATTATTAAACTCCACCCACCCAAGGCTTAGGGACCATTGAGGAAGAGGGGGCAGAAAGATTGTAAGAGCCAGGGAGGAGGTGCATGACCATACAGAAATAAAGTCCTACAGGTTCCTGAGACCTTGCTCATATGAACCTACAGCAATGGTATCAGCCTTCACAAAACCCATGCAAACTCAAGCAGACAAAAACTCAGCACAGAACTGTGGAAAGGGGCAGTTGGCCCTAATCTTAGTGGAAGAACTACTGGCAGCTGTTTACTGCTGGGTGAGGAAGAGCTGATCCTCTTAAAGGAAGGGACTCTAGACAGGCTGACTAGACCTCAGTGGATGAACTTGTACTGAGGGATGTCTGGGGAAAGTAATTTGACTAGATAGGCCTTAACACAAACGACAAAATGCATGAATTCCAGTGGGTGGGTGCTATGGGAGGGTACCAATGGGGAAGGGGGTATAACTCAATAAAACATTTAAAAAAGAAATGTACCCCTCAAATTCATGCCAAAAGTTAGTTACCACTTGATCTGCTTCTATATTTCAGATGCCCAAAGGCTCCTTACATTTTCTTTGCATTTCTGTTTAAGTCTGACAAAAAGTATAAATAGCTATGGAGCTAGGTCCATCATGAAAAGTGGGGAAAACATCATTGGAAGACAAATGACCTTTGTGGTGAAAAACTGACAGAATACACACTTAAAATTATATAAGACTTTTATTCATCGATGCTAAAAGCACAATATTATAGCAATAAGTCTATTAGTAGCCAAAAATAACTATCCATTACTGTGTGTTTACGTAGCAATGGATAACTTGGAAAGAAGCCATTTTAACATAGAAATGGCTTCCAAGATACGAGTCCATAGAAAGTGGGTGGGTGGATATTTGGGTGAGCAAGCACAAGCCCGGCTTCCAAGGGGCAGGAAGACTTGCAGAGATTTTGTTTTGAGGAAGGGTCTCCCTGTAGCCCCAGCTAGCTTGAAACTCCATATGTAGACCAGATTGGCCTCAATCACACAGAGATCTGTTTGCCTCTGCCTCCCAAGAGCTGGGGTTAAAGGTGTGCACCACTGTACTCTAAAAAAAAACTTTTTATTGTTGTTGTTGACTTTCAGAGATTTAAACAGCCAAGAATTACTTCAGTTTGAATGTGTCTCCACAAGTTGATGATTTAAATACCCCCAGTGCAGTACTGTTGTGATGTGAGATCTGTAAGAGGAGGCTGCCTGAGGCTTCGCCCTCATGAATGGATCAGTGCTGGTACTGAGGCAGCATATTATCATAGGGTAGGGTCTTCTGAAGAATCTTGTCCCCTCCTCTCCTCTCTTGCCCAGGGATGTTTCTGCCCTGCTGTGATGCAGCAAGGAAACCTTCCAGATGTGGACCTTGATCCAGGACTTCTCAGCCTCCACATCAACGAGCCAAGGAAGTCTCTCTTCCTTATAAATTGCCCCACAGCACAAAAACTAAAACAAAGAACTTGTTCTTGTGACAGAATGTAACAAAAGAAAAGAGCTCAGAGCTAAAATCCAGTTTCCTGTCAATATAGTTTGCCAACATTAAGGCAGAAATCATGCTGAATGCTACCTCTGGCATTTAGCAATATCTAACACACACTATTTTTAAACAATTAGCAGTTGTCAAGTCTGCACGGCAGCTACAGTACATCCCATATAAGATTATTAATTTTTCTATTGGATGGGCACCTCTTCTCCGCTTCACAATTCTGGGCCTTTTCCAAGTCCTTTTCTGTGTTTCATTTAATAAAGCACCCTCAGTTTCCATTTACAGCCAACTTCAGGAGCTTCTTCAAGCCTGTTACATAGTTCACTGCAGTCTGAGTGCTCTTTGCATGCACAGCCTCAGGGAGTATGCTTTAGTTTAAAGTGGCATGAATTTGCTGGGCATGGTGAATCTAGGACTTGGGAGGCAGAGGAGGGTGGATCCCTGTGAGTTCAAGTCTACTGTTGTCTACATATCAAATTCCAAGCCAGTTAGTGCCACATAGTGAGACCCTGTCTCAACCCCCGCCCCAATTAGCATAAATTTAAATGTTATGACAATAACCAGCAGCCCCAATAAGCCATTAAAATAATGTTAAAATATGTGGCGGATCTAGCAGCTTTGCCCCAGTCCTTAAAAGCTGATGTTTAAGAAGTCAGCAACTGCCCAGAGGAAAACAGGGAAGTGTTTCTCTAAATATCGCAAGAATAAGAGAAAGAATGGAAAACAGCAGGCAGATGGTGTCATAGCTCGAAAACAGTTAACCCCAGCCCTTGGGCCCTGTGTGCACACAAGTGACATACCACTAACACCTATTGTATGTCACTTGAGCTGGGCTGTACATCCATCAGGCTGTATGTGCATCTGGCCTCCAGATCACCCACATGCTACTGATTCCCAGTTCCAAACACCCATTTGACACCATCGCTTGACTGTCTTAACAGTACCTCAAAACTTCACATGCCCAAACAAATTCCTAACTTTCTTGTCTAAACCTGTGACTGACACACAGCAAGTGTACCAGTTC